ATCTAGAACTAACATTATCAATTCCTATCTGTTGTTGTATGTGTCATAATCTGTTTCATAAATTTGTTTTCCCCCCTTGATTCCCCTTTTCGGGGTTTTTACGTTCCAGCCAATCGTACCACTTATTCCAGATCGAGTAAAATTCCACCTCCTCTTTTCCTTTTAATTTTAATGTGAGAATATATCACCAATACAATTTATTATTCAAAAAGTCTGTGAATGTGCAGAAATGGAAAAACTCGCATCTTGCTTTTGTTCGGTTTTAAAATATATATTCTCCCCACTCACTCTCCCTCCACCCCCCCAAAAAATCAGTAGGCCTATAAACTCTGCAAATACCACTTGGACAATTTTTGCTCAGTTTTCAAGGAAAGTTTTATCTGGCATAAATGCCCAAATTAATGCTTAGATAAGACCAATGGTTTATCCAACAACAAAATTATCCCATTTGAAAAAAGGAAAATACCAATATAAAGATTCCTAGAGTATACTGGTCAAATGAACTGGTATCTGTTTTGTCCATTCACTGTCATGGAAGCTCCCTGCTGCAAGCTGAGCTGCATTACTTGTCTGGATAGCCAACAAAATTTCTTAGTGTTGTTTGGGGTGAAAAACGGGAAGAGGGAGCAGTATTTACATTGCCTGCACTGCTACAGCAAGGCTAATATAAATCATAAAAGATAATATAAACCGTACAACTAAATAAAAGTACAGGCTGCAATTTCACACTATCTATGTGTTTAGTTTTATTTATACAGAATGAGTGCAAAGGGTAAAACAGACAAAGTTAAAATAGTTTTAAGTTGTGATAACTTCACTGGGTCAATTTAGCAGTGCTTAAGGCTACTAAAATATGCACAGGATTTTGCAATGTGCCTTGATAGTTGAAACTGGTGGGATTTAAAAAACAATTTAAACTCCGAGTGGGCACCTCTATTCTTTGTTCGTACATATCTTTACTGGAAATTCATACAAAAAGGTGTTGCATTTTTAGCTATATGTTTTCTTTATTAAATCTAAGTTTAGAGTATGAGTAACTTAGAAGAGGCAATTTAAGTCTTCAGGGAATATGTGGGCATTTTTTTTATAATAAACAGTTTTGGAGATAATTTACTAATTTCAATGAGATAAATTCTTTCAATTATTTAACTTCAAATGGAAAAAATGCGAATGGCCTTCATCGTTCTGACCCTTGTTGGATCCCATATAAAATTAATGTTGGCCCCTATGATAGTGGACAACCTCACTGCAACTTTTTAGGCATGCCAAAGTCAGCAACTATTATCCACAACAGAGGTTAGTTTAGAAAAGGTATGCAATTAATATCTGGAAAAATTACTTACTGGTTTTTCAGTAGTTTCTTCTTTCTTTTCCCTTTTCACTCCATCTCCTGGTGGTGCAAGTTCCTGAAAAAGCAGGAGGGTAGTATTGATGCACGAGAGACTATTGGTACAGATGATTCCCCACCCCCACTGAATGTTGATGCAAGCAAAACCCTAAAGACAAATAATTGGAGTAGTAACTGAACACATGGTGACGAAATTGCTAAATGTATACCAAGCTCTCGTTAGGTTCCATATAGAATCCATTGAAATGATGATGTAAAATGATGTTTATCGTAAGCCACTTCATAAGGAAATAAGTGATTCCAATCCTTTTTATGGGTATAGGTAAGCATGATGGGAGATTTTAATGCTATAGCAGTCATAGGATAAAGCTAGTGAATCTGAATTTGAATTAGTAGGGGAAATTTTAGATTCCCACTCATCATTTTTCTAAATAAGCTTTTCACAAATCATTTTTGTATGAATTAGTTATTGTAAGCTGCCCAGAGTTGTATGACAGCGAGATGAGCAGCAAATAAACTTAATAAATAATCCATATTCCTTTGAAAATGTCAATGATCCTAATTAACCTCATGGCTATTATTTTTAATCAGGATTTTAATCTCCTATATTTTGTTTAGTTTCATTCAAAGGCCTGCGTGTCAAAGGGGTGGGGAATTGTTCATTATATAATACCGGTAAAACTTACATTGAAAGCACGGTTATTGTAGAATCGATCCTCTAGTTTTGCTCCCCATTCAGTTGGATCATATCCGGTTTCTGAAAAGACAAGAGGTTTTTTTTGAAAAAATAAATACTGACTTCTCTTTAAAAAATAAAAGCTTCCTGGTCAAATGATGCTTAATCAAATTGGGAATCATAATGACACTGACATTCCTTTAAGAACAGTTGTGATTTCTTAACTGAAAAAAGGTAAACACGCACATGTAGCTCAGTTATGTGTAATAAAGAGGAAAAAACAGAGCCTAGGACAATTGGCCCTGGCCATCTCTCTGTGGCCAACACATCACCTGACAATTCAAGACAGAATAACTCAAGAGAGCGCACAATTGAATTTCTAGGACTCCAAGCTCTGGCTCACCCCAGCCTCAAGGACTTTTAATTTGAAAAGGTTCAAACCTAAAGCAAGACAAGGTCTGCTGAAAATCACTTTTTCCACTGTTGAATAGTCCCACAGGGAGTTAGCCATGGCAAGATGACTGTGGCAAGTCAGCCAAGACCAGTCGGCCATGGAGAGTTGTCTCATTCCAAGGAAAACATAGGTCAAAATTAAAACACCCCCCCCCCAAAAAAAATTAAATGCTTGAATGAGTGATATATATATTGTAAAAAAGATAACCCAAACCTACCAATCTGAGCATAACAAAAAGAAGGCACTGAGCTTTTGAGAATAGCCCCATTCAGAACCTACATAGTGGCTAAACTGAATGGTGCAAAAACATTCCTGAAAAAGAAAAATGCCAAAAATGGACACCTAAATGAGTAAATAATGGTTTCTTGCAAACCAGATGAAGTCCAAAAATGCAAATGTACATTAAAAACCTTAATATAGTCAATTGAAACTTACTTTCTCTTTGAATAAGGAGAGATTCAAAATACTTGGCTGCAAAAGTTGGTATATCATCAGGCTGGTTTCTTAAGACTTCCCTGGCGAGCCCTTCAAGCAGATTGGCAAATCCTGGAGGAATGCGTTGACTGGTGTTTGAGAACGGAATAGCCATTGTTTCTGAAAAACTATCTTTTATACCTAGAGTGCAATTTACAATTAGTGAGACTTATAATCTAAATAAGACATTTAAATGTTGGATAAAAAAGTTAAGGTAAAGGTTTCCCCTGTCCAGATGTGTCTGACTCTAGGGGGCGTTGCTCACCTCTGTTTCTAAGCTGAGGGAGCCAGCATTGTCCGAAAATGCTATATATGAGCCCAATCCACCTAACAATGTGGTGTAGTGGCAAAAATATGAGGAGGGAGGAGTATTATGTATCTTTGCCACCTTGAGTTACTAAAGGCAGAATAAAAAAATGAATAAATAAATCTGGATGTCAAGCTCACGCCATTTAATCTTTTTTTTTAAATTACTGCAAAGTATCTGATTGTAACAACATTTTAAACAAGGAATTGCTTTGTTCTGAATCAGACTACTCGTCCACTTATCTCTATATCACCCAGTCCAATTTGAAACATAATTAAATTCAGGAATATAGAGAATTCACTAAGTTTTTAAAAAAAAATTGATTCTCACGTAGAGATAAACATGTGTACTTGCTATTGCACACCTGTTCAAGTTTAAGTTTTACAGTTGGGGTGTCCATCCAACCTTGGCAATTTGAAGACTTGTGGACTTCAACTCCCAGAATTCTCTATGGGGGAAATGGCTGGCTGGGGAATTCTGGGAGTTGAAATCCACAGGTATTCAAGTCACTATGATTGGACATCCCTACTTTACAGTATTTTACTTTGCCCTTCTTAGCAACATTTACTATTGAACAGGCGCACCAGATTTCCTGTGAAAAACGTGGCACTTACAAAGCAGGGCTACAAAACAGGAGGCTGCTTAAGACACAGAAGCAAGAAGCCCTTGCCCAGAATTCCCGGCCATGCTTGCTGGGAACGATGGGGGCTGTATTCCTGTACCTCTAAAAGTCGGGGAAGGGAGCAATAATGGAAGCCTCTTCCTCACGGGGCAAAATGCAGGCAGCCTTCGACTTATGACCACAATTGAACCCAACATTTCTGTTGCTAAGGGAGACCTTTGTGAAGTGAGTTTCGCCCCATTTTACCACCTTCCTTGCTACAGTTGTTAAGCGAATCACTGCAGTTGTTAAGTTATTAATGTGAGTGTCAAATGAATCTTCCCCACTGACTTTGCAAAGGGATCACATGACCCACCGTCATAAGTATGAGACAGTTGCTAAGAGCCTGGATGTTGACCATATGACCATAGAGATGCTACAACGGTAGTAAGTGTGAAAAATGGTCATAAGTCACTTTTGTCAGTGCCGCTGTAACTTCGGTCACTAAACGAACTGTTGTAAGTCGAGGGCTACCTGTACTCTGCCCATGCTCAAAGGCGCTCTTGTTCTGATGCAGCTAGGTTCCTGGCCTGCCTGCGCGTCTCCCTTCCCAGCTATCAACACGGGGGGGGGGGGAGGCGCTGAGAGCCTTCACGCCGCCGCCCCGTCCTCTTCAGCTCCCCGGCCCGTCAGGAGGGTCCTTCCCAAGCCTCCTTTTACCCTTTTACTCCTTTGCCCGCAAGGAGAGAGGCCAGCGTCCTTCCCGTTGCTTTAGCAACTCCAATTAAGACGGCAAGCGGGAAGAGCCAATAGAGCGGGAAATCGCGCAGTTGGCTTCTCGGGTCGGCCCATCTCGCTTGCTGATTGGCTGCAAGCTCCGCCCTTCAACGACCAAACCTCCTTCTTTGAAGGCCGCCTCCAACTAAAATCTCGTCCCGCCCCGGCGCCTCAAGCGCGGT